TACGTTAATCATAATTTTTAATCAAAATCATAAAAAAGTCATGCAAAAGTAACAATCTAATATTCTAAGCCTTCATTATAATATATTTTATGATACCTTCTTAGGTCTTAGTTTACATAATTACAAAGCTGTTTATTTTCTTATTTTCTGGTTTTTGTGCCGAATGTTCATAACAATTGCGAATCAAATGATCGCTTGGTCAATTTGGAAAGCAGTAGACCCATAAAGTAATGTACGTGCACTGAACTGACAAGTAGGCGTTACAGCTGATACCAACCTAACTGACCCCACTACCGAGTGTAACTAGGCTTGATGCATATTATGTTTGTGTATAGAATGTGTAGGACAGGGATTTCTATAATCGCAAATTAACGCGAACGCGAGAAACTTGAAATTATACTAAAATCGTTAATATATTAGCCAATGACTATATCATATCATATACTCCATTGCTTATCAATAAATACATTTAGTTAACGTTTAGATTGAATCCAATCGAATTAAAGTAAAATTAAAATAAATTGAACCAAACACCTTAGTATACTGCCGTTCTCAATACTAAAATACGGAAGACTTGCTGCCACACTCATTGCTACCCTGTCTATAAAACTGTAATGAAGGAACACTTCCGTTGTATCAGTACCAAAAGGGAATTGAGATTTTTTAATGACTTAAACTGCTTAATGATTTCTTATATTTACGCGAACACTACACATTGATTAAAACTACTTTTACGGATTTTATTGCGTTTATTTTACTATTATTTTTAATTCCCGACGTTTCGGGCGCTTTCCAGCACCCATGTTCACGGGGGACTGAGATGACTGACGTCCCGATGTCATTGTTAAACCCGAAGTAAAATATATAATTTTACAGCCAATTAGCACTAAAATTTTTGTCATTTTTCCCAAATGATCATTCCAGCTTTATAGACGATCTGTATGCCTTATCTAACATTCAGTTCTGGACAGCTAGAATTAATCATCGCATCTCGTTGACTCTATACTTTACGCCGCAAGAATAAGCGACTTATAAATGATCAAAACAGATGTTTCGATACTCTTCCTATGTTAACTAAAACTTATGCTAAGATTAATGGTACAAAAGTTCGGAGCCGGAAAGATTTTCTACAATTTGGAGCCCAAATCGATAATTATTTATCTATGCATATAAATAAAATTGAAATATTCTGTATGTTATATTGAATTAACGGACTTCTGTTAAATCCAGGGGTTATTTTCATGCTGTAAAGATCAATTTAAATAAAATCCGTAAAAATTAGTTTTACTTAAATGTGTAGTGTTTGCGAAAACATAAGAAATTATTATAAATAACCATTTGTACCAAACCAAATGTAAGTTTGTCTGTCGGTTTGTCCGAGCTAATCTTTAATAGGTCAATACCAGGAGGGGTACCATAAATAACTGGTGCAGGGATAACAGTTTATCAGTTGATGCTGATAGAACTGTTATAATATCCTTTATCAAAAAGAGACGGTTCGACAAAGTCACACCATAACTCAATGGTAGAGAAGTACCATTTTCCACTGAAGTTAAGTACTTGGGCGTCATAATCGACCAAAAACTAACATGGAACTCTCACCTTAGCAACATATGCCATAAGACAAAAATTGCTTTAGGTACGTGCAGTCGTTTGGTCGGGAACAACTGGGGCTTGCGTCCCAGTATGGTCCTATGGCTGTACAGCAGCATAATGAGTATTCTTATCTATGCCTCTACTGTCTGGTGCAACAAGGCCAGCCAAAGGACGACTGCGGACAGACTAAATAGTCTACAAAAGACTGCCTGCTTAGTGGCAACTGGAGCTATGCGATCATCGCCTGGAGCGGCTCTTAATGCACTTCTATGCCTAACGCCCCTTGATCTTTATCTAGACAAGGAGGTGAGGGCTAGTTTGTATAGGATTAACGCCCAGGGAGGTCTGAGCTTACCTAACCTCGACTCAATTAAGGAATCACCGGTCTTATGCATGATCTTAGACATCATGCGTTCACTACACACTTGATAAAAAGTATATAGTGGAATTATTCTCCAGAGAAGACTAGCTGAATGGCCAGGTTATCTGTGAGGTCGGTAGCCTCATATGGTACACCGATAGGTCTAAAATGGAGCTTTGAAATATACGGGGAACGCCCCAAATTCAAACTTAGAATGAATTTGGGTAGATTCACCTCTATCTTCCAGGCAGAAATTTTCGCCATACTTCAGTGTGCGGAAATCAATCTACAAAATCACTACGCCAAAAATATAATTTATATAAACTCTGATAGTCAAGCAGCACTGCTAGCGCTGAGGTCAAACTTAGTGAACTCGAAGCTAGTTGGAGACTACGTGAACTGTTTAAACGCCCTGGGATACAGGACAACAGGGTCGTCTTAAGATGGGTTCTGGGTCACGCGCGTTTTGTAGGCAATGAATTTGCTGAAAAACTTGCACGGGATGGCTCAAAAAGTACACAGTTTGGACCTGAGCCATTTTGTGGAATCTAAAGAAGCCTAGCCCGATTGACCTTTGAAACTCTTTATCACAATAAATCAATTAAGATCTGGTCTGACACACCAGCCTTACAACATTCTAAAACCTTAATCCGGGCTATTGATCGTAAATTCGCTTCAGAAGCCCTGGGATTAAGCAAACATAAATTGCGCATTCTGGCAAGAGCTCCAACTGGACACTGTTGTCTTATAAATGCACATGTCCATCCTGGGACTAAGCAACTCAAGGATGTGTCGGTTCTGTTCCATAACGGAAGAAACGCCTCTGCACATCCTACTGATTGCGGACCCTTAATGCGCAAACGTAACACTCATCCAGGAAACTATGTATTCCGCCCAGAAGAAGTGAAATTGCGAACGGCTAAACAACTCCTTCTTTTCATTGAAAACCTAGGGCTTAGCAGTGAACTATAACCATAGCAGCGATCACAATAGATCTTTTAGGTCGCAGTGGTAAAAAATACCAGGAGGGGTCTAGGTTATTTTTTATCCGAAAACTTGAAGATTTTCTTGAAAATATGAAAAATCGATATTTTAAATCGGAATAACTCCACGTTAGTAGATCCTATCTAGGCGATGCCGGGGTGGGTCGCTAGTTATAGTTAATGCGTTATAGCTGGCGTTGCCAGGCGTCCGGATAAAGCCGGACACAGCCATGCTTTTAGGTCGCGTGTCCGGCCAAATTAGACTGTGTCCGGCCTGTCCGGCTTTTGATAGGCTTTTTAAATTTGACAATTTTTTACATTAGTATGGTAATGAATATTGAATAATTAATAATAAAGAAGACTGATTTATTCAATTGTTGTTATTTCATTCGAATTTAAGAATATTTTATGGTCAATATTATATGGTTTATTTTATGGTTTATCATTTATAAAAAGGTTTTTTAAATTTTTTTAAATGTCGTTTTACTAAGACTAAAAAAGTAAGGGCATTTTTACCATAATGCCCGGCTAAGCTTGCTGGTGTGTCCCGGCCTTTCGGTTTTAAGACCTGGCAACCCTAATTGTAGCTGTGACCTTGCAACGATCAAGCATACTGTTAAAATGTTTAATTGAAAATGTATTTATTTGATAGTATTTTAAGTATGTAATCTTATTATTTTAATTTATACGAAATAGTTCAGGAATAAGAATCATACACATAATTCAAAATCCAGTAGGTTACTTACTACTACATCGTAACAGTGTAAGAGAATCCATCATACCGTCTCTATCATCTCGTGGGGGGTGTTGTTATATTAAAATTGACAACTTTTTATAGAATAAGGGTGACAAACAAGTACACAGTCCACATAGACATCTACATTTATCCTCGATTAAGAATCAAAACGCAGATGCGTTGTCACCCTTGAGGACTAAGATGGAGTATGCCTCGTTTCCATAATAATGAAAGAAAATTTTAACATTTAAACAATACAAATTATGTTAATTTTTGTCTCTGACACCTTTCCGCTTAATTTTACATTGTCTAATAAAAGTTAAGTAAATGTATTTACAGCCTATACGCGTCCCATTGCTGTGCACAAGCCTCCGCATTTCTGGGAAAATTTTCATGCGATTTACCCGCCGCGCCGTACTGTTTCACTGGGTTGACGGACTTCACGATATATATTTATTCCTAAATAATCATAATCTACTAAGAGTCAATTTTCAACCGACTTCAAAAAAGGATCAGGTTGTCAATTGTACAATTTTTTAGTGTGTTACGTCAGAACTTTTTTCTAATAATTTTAAAGGAAGTAGTACTCGTAATTTTTTCTTAATAATTTTAAAGAAAGCTAATGTTTCTGACATGGTTGTGTATAAATTTGATCAAAATCTGACCAGTAGTTTTTGAGTTATCCCTTAATAATACCTATTTAATATACTTCTACTACATTGATGATTTCCTCATCTTATCTTAATATATATATAAATTACTTGTCACGTTGTTTGTCCGCGATGGACTCCTAAACTATTTAACCGATTTTAATCAAATTTGCACACCGTGTGCAGTTTGGTCAAACTTGAGAGATAGGATAGTTTTTTTTTGTCCATGTGTGACCCACAATTTTTTAGGAATTTAAAGATTTTTAATAATTATGACAAAGGGTCGTCGAAAAGGGCAGAACAACGTCTGCCTGGCAAGCTAGTTTTGTCTATATTGAAGTCGGCTGTACAAAATTTTAAATTTTACCACTTGCTTAATCATCAGGTAAAAGTTATTCATAGGTTACAATACAACCTAAACAAATTAGAAATTAGTTGTGTGAATAAAATAGTTTAATTGTTTCATTTTTATATGCAGTTATAGTTTATTTGATTGATAACTGTTATACATGCACTTGATGTTCGAAAACAAACCAAGTTAAAGTGAATAAGAGCTTAAATCATGACGGAAACGGTTAACGTGTCAATCCGCGGACTAACAGTTTGCTTACTTACTATTCAATTTAATTCCAAATCATTTTGCTAATGTTAAATATGCGTTTGTTTCAGACAAAATGGTGGTGGGCGAAACCAAGCGTACCGCCAACATTATGGACGGAATCGAGAACACCGGCGACGTGCGGCTACACGATCATCGACTACGTCTCAAACAGAGGTGTGTTATCTTCACATAGTTACCACTTTACAATTTGATTTATTATTGAAACTAGCATGTTTTCTGAAAATCTTTGCAATATATGCTTTTCTCACTTGAATTTCTAGATTAATTCACGTGAACACATGTAATAGAGCTATTAGAATCCCTTTCAGATATAAATTTAGATATAATTCAGATATAAATTCAAATTTTAATTGTCAGATAATAATTTTTTACGTGGTAGAGCCATGCTGCAGCTATATTAATTGTATGGTTGTAGCACGAATGGGTCGGCTCGACCGGGGAACGACCACGCTCTCACAGAATACCAGCGTAAAATAGCAGCTGAATGCTGCTGTATTTCGTATGGTGAGTGTAGAGAACCGGAGACCCTTTTTACTGGAAAAGAGGCATTCCATCTTAGTCATTGATTAGTCAAGATTAAAATAAGAGCGTTGTATGGCTGACAACGCTTCTTCATTTTAAATCGCAAACGAGGATAGATGTAGATGTCTATAGACCACAGCAACCACTTACCATCAGGTGGCCTGTGTGCTTGCTTGTCACCCTTTTCCTATAAAAAAATAATTAAAAAAATAAGTAACTGAATTTATAATTTTTATTATTAATAAATGTTTATTTATATTTATACAGTTCGTGAAGTAGAAGTATACTAACATTATAGCCAAATATCGAGGGATGGGAACAGCATTCCAATGTGCGAGGGTTTCGACTTTCCAACCGCTGATTGGGTAGGAGTAAATTTTTTAATAAGTCCGTGTTTCTAGTTATTAATAAGGATCGTTGTTACAAAAGAATCTATAAAACAGCCCACATTGATACTATAGCCTCTGTACGATAGAGTCCGACCAAAGCTTCGGCACCGGCTCCAGCTTTGGCTTCGGCCAACTTCGGCCAAAATCAGTCGAAGGAATTGCCAAAACGATAATTCATAAGTTTTTGTAGTTAGTATTTATAGTATAATGTTAATACAAGGGGCACACTGAAATGATCGGGAATAAGAAAAACCACATGCACGGTATAGCTTTTTTGTATTTGTTTTTCGAAGTACTCTCCGTTCAACTTAATGCACTTTTCCATTCGTGCAAACCAATCATTAAAACAGTAATTCCAGTCTGAAGTTGATGTTGACAAAATGGCTGATTTGTACGCTTCCACAGCTGCTTCGGGGTCTTCAAACCGTTGAACGTGTAATAAATCTTTCATTCTGGGGAATGTAAAGAAATCGTTTGGGCTCAGGTCAGGACTGTACGGAGAATGGCTTATCAGCTCAACGTTTTCCTGCTTCAAAAAATCATTTGTCTTCTTAGCCGCATGGGAGCTCGTATTATCGTGATGATTAAAATGGAAAAAAGGTTTTATTGTAACTCAATCCGAAATATTCTATTCCCAATTATTTCAGTGTGCCCTAACGTATTATGTGTCATTTGACATTAATAACAAAATAATGTGTATTTAATTGACAAAACTATTAACTGAAGATATTTAGTATTGCATGTGTGATAAGGATATAGAACGACGAGTGAATGCAGGAAATAGAGTAAATGGGGCCCTACACTCTATTGTGAAGAGTCAAAATGTGTCGAAAAAGGCACGTATGGCAATTCACAATGCTGTGTTGGGCCTTGGCATTAACGTATGGTAGTGAAAGTTGGGTGTGGCAGAAGAAGCACGAGAGTAGAATGAACGCAGTAGAAATGCGGTCGTTAGTCGGGGTGAGAAATTGTGTGGTATGTTAGGGCTGAATCTGAATGACAGTGTGAGAAATTGTGTGATAAGAGAACAGTGTGGTTTGGAAGATGATGTTGTGAGCAGGATTAAGAAAGGAATGCTTCGGTGGTTTGGTCATGTGGAAAGAATGAATGAGGAAAGAGTGACAAAGAAAATTTATGTTGCAGAAGTGAAGTGCAGAGTCGGAAAGGGACGTTGTAGGCGAAAATTTATCGACCAAATTGGCGATTTATTGAAAACGGGCTCGTCGGTTAAGGGTACTCCTAACCCTTAACCGACGAGCATGCATGCGTAGGTATATGAATGTGATGGAGGCGAGAGAGGTGTGTCAGGATCTTGCCAAATGGAAGTCTGTAGTCTCTGCCTACCCCTCTGGGTGACAAGCGTGAGTGTTTATGTTTATGTATGTTATTTAGTATTTAAATCAATGAGATAAATTCCAATCTTATTAAAACCGTTAATAACATATTTTATCTTATTTTATTGCTGTTTTGATTAGTAAATAATTTATAAACTGAGGATTTTTGATATAATGTAGAAGTAGAATTTCTTTATACTTACTTATTTACAATTATTATTATAATTTTAACAATTTTAGCTAAAGCTGGATTTTTTAATTGTTATAGGCTGTTGTTTGACTACTGTCCCATCAAATAATAAGTTGAGATTCAGCCGAAGATGGTAAAGTGCCTTGACTTAGCTTAACAAAAGCCTATTCACTCTTGCTTTGAAGATAGCCAATATAATCGGATGGAAAGATAGATGCTATCAAATTATTCCACCCCTTTGCTAAAAAAAAACAACGAACAAACCACAAAAGTTCCTCGAATACTATTAGGACAAATTTGTTGTCCGTATGTCCAAGTTGGTCTAGTTAAAGAATATTGACCTTACTTTTCATCGTTGATTATTATAGCTTCCTTAAATTAAGTTTCATATCTTTATAACTATATCTTTCTATTGTCATTTTATGAAAAGAGAGAAACTCACTTTAAGCATTACTTAAATTGACCTGCTTTTCTGAGTAAGACCAAGCAGTCCTTGCTAAGAATTATGTTACGAGTAATCCATATCATATTTTAATAATTAAATTGAAGATCATATTGTGAGCTATGATTGTGAGGCATCTTTTAATTTTATTAAACAAAAAAGTCAGCTGACGCTCTCGTCTGACATGCAAAATATGATTTAATTGTACGGAACTTCACGCTTAGTCATCTGTTAGCTCTTAATAAATGTATTTTGGGTTAAAGCCAACATTATCTTTAATATACTCAATCTGTATAATATTTGTTTTTATGATAAAATAAATTTTTTGTTATTCGAAATTCATTTAATGTACAATCGTTTTATGACAGAAATGTCAATTGTTTTTAAAAATATTATTCCGGAATTCTAATAATATGTAAAGCCCGTACTGACAAATAATGGGATTAGAAATGGCGACTCAACGTACCGTCAACATACACAACGCTAAATAACGGTATAGATATATATCGTTATAACGTTATATTATTCGGTTAGTTGGAAATTTTCTATTATTGGGAAAATATTTAAAAAAAATGTATACACAAATAGGTAATTTTAAAATAACATTTATACTATGTAGAATTATAATCATTCAAACCATTCATTTTGTTTCATCAATATTTCTCTAAATTTTTCGGATAAAAACTCTCAGAACGCATCGTAGCTCACCAAATTAGCGAAAGCGGACTGATTTTTTTTTGGTAGTTTATGGCATTTTGTTATACTTAATTGATTCCAATGACAAGTCAGACTAAAGTTATAGATCGGGAAAATTTACCGCTATATAATGTTAAGCTTTAGGTTGTGACAATAAAAACTGCCATGAAATTACCAAAATTGACACTTTAATTACCGACACCAATTAAAACTTAAAACACACTAATAACTAATCACACTTAACACTTTAGTACACTATATTTCACTCCGAAGTCTTAGCTTGTCTCGCTAATGCAATAATGACCCGGTCGCGGCGCTAAACGGATTTATATAGGCCTTTTCCAATGAACATCTAGAATGTTCCAGCAAATACCGGTCCCGACCGACTAAGTGGAGAAAGTTCTCTTCTAGTTCTGCCACTTGATAGTGGATGGTGCTGGAGGTGGAAAGTTCTAGCATGGCATTTTCAGAAAGCTCTTCTCGCTCTGCTACCAGACACTAGATGCCGCTAGGGGTATTAGTTATGGCTTGCAACAATATCAATAGTGTGCGAGCGAGAGATGAATAGAGGCGACACCATTTTCAATCCTATTCTAACCGCACGGGTAGAATTCAAATTCAAAGGCATAAATGACATTTAAGCATGTATTTAAATTTTTGTCAACAAATGAGGCTATGACGTGGTTGAATCGCGTTGTAAAAAGGCACTGTAAAATAGTATGTTAATTTTTGATTAAATATATTTTGCATGCACCAGGCGAAACATTGTATTATTGGGTTAGATTAGAACAATGGTTTCGAAATTTACTCACGTGGTCTATATTGATTGCGACGTTACACGAGTAAGTTTACACAATTCTTACTTTTTACGTAATCTGTCGCTTAATCTAGATTTAATTTTGCTTTTTTATTTGTGCTGGAATTCCTGGAGTTACTTAACTTCTTTAACTTAGTTTTAAAATATGTTATTACAAATCACTCAATAAAGATATCTATGTCTTTTAATTTTTTGCTACTAACTATCTACAAGGGCCTTCAAGATTATAGACTTATTTTACTGTTGTGTAGTCACAACAGTAAAATAAGACACAAATTATACAAATGTTAAGGAAAGCTTGTAACAACGTATATGATCACTGGCAAACGCTCGGGTTGTACAGTTTCAGGTGTTGAAGAATACGTGAAGACAAAATGTAATCTCCGATCGTGAATCACGTACGCTTCCCACCTATACAATTACATTTTAGAGTCCTGTCACACGCACCACAACATTATATTTCGATGGTCACTTCTTATTCATCAAATATGTTTTTAATAATGTATTTTAATAATGTGGTTTTTTTTTCTTCTTTTTAGTGTGTTAGCCTACATTCATTTTAATGTGTAAGATTTAGATTGTAATAAATAGAGGACATTATCGCATTGGGTTTGACCTGTAAGGATAGATGTTTCAAGTAATAAATAAATAAAGAATCACAGGCCTGTAAAAGTCCACTGGTGGAATTGACTCTCTCCTGTTGTAGGCAGGATTTGCCATAATCACCACGCCTGGCAGGCGGATTAGCCATCGCAGTTAGAGG